CCAGAGAAGACTCCACAACCTCTCTGGGCAGCCTGTTCCAGTGCCCTATTCAGTGCTCAGCCCCTACACCTGACATCCCTTCACTGCTGCAGACCTCTCCTCCTGCTTCTTTTATTTACATCTTCTGCCTTAATGACAAAGCTACAGCTCTGTGTGGTGGGAAATGTTCTTGTACATCTGTGTTAGCCTATGGTAGGAATTTGGCTGGGGAGAAAAATTAAAATTCTACTATATGAACTGGTGGCAAAAGGCACAAAACTACAGACCAAAGCTTCTTTTGTTTCCTCCCATAAAAGCTGTGCAGTGGTGTTTCTGTGACAGTGACTGAGAGAGGTCAAATGTGAAAGTTCAGGGAGATTGCGAAGAGCCCAGACTGGAGTTTGCTCATCATGAGAGCAATTAGAGGAAGACTGTTCAAAGGTACCTTCGCAGTGGTATCTGGGTGCCTAATTATAGTAACCAGGTTTGAAAGATCTCACCCTGCACTTTTACCAGTTTGCTTTAAAAACACCACTGCAATATCCATGTTACTTGGAAACAACAATGGGCTTTCCTGTGGAAAGCTACCGTCTCTCTCTCTCATGCTTTTTTCCCCAGGTGAAGGAAGGTTTCTAGAAGGAATTTCAGGGGTCTGTGTTTCTTCCCCACACAGTGGGCTCCTGGGAGGTGATCTGAAAGATGTGAAGCCACCTCATCATGCTCTACAGTAAACTATTTAGGGGGAGGGGAGGTGGAACAGACACCTGGTTTTATCTTCCCAAAGCATGGTCTTTTTAGCATGTTTTGGTGAAGAAGGGAAGCAGAGCTCAAGAAAATGGAGATGTTTTTTCGGTTTGAGTGAAGGTGACTACCTCACACCTGCTGTGTGCTCAATAGAAACACACAAAGGCCCAAATGCAAATAAAACTGTTTAACTTGAAGGAGTTTCTGCAACTGGTGTTTGCTTTTCATCCTCATGAGCTAATTATCCCCTGGGGCTTTTTCCCTCTTTCCTTGGCCTCCAGTAAATCAGTGAAATGAAACCAAAACTGTTTTGAAGATAGATTTTGCCCCCTCCCCCGTCTTCTTATTTTTGGTAGAGGTATGTGCCTGTGTTTTATTCTATTATCAACCACAGCGAGCATTTCTGATTGAAAAAAATCAGAGCACCATAGGACAACGCCTGGGGGACAGGAGAAGTGCACCTGGGAGCACTGCACTGGTGTCAGGCTGTGCTTCTACCCCAGAGCCTGTGTCCACCACCTTCAACCATACACCCTCTCCTCCACCAGCTCCTTATGGTGACCAGTCTGAGCTCCTGAGGGACTCCAAAGCCCTCCATCAAGGCTGCGTTTACCAAAAACCTGCTCAACAGCAAAAAAGATAACCAGATCTTGGGGTGGACAAAGGAGAATCTTGGGAGGGAGGGAGTCGGGCCTGGATGCAGAAGTTACGGCCTGCTTTGAGTTTGCAGTGAGAAAAAACATTAGTGGCAGGCATGCTAGTTGTGTGTTGTCTTGTTTTAGGCAGCAGCTAATGCCTTAGTTTAAATTGTGGCCACTTCTCTGAAACTGGAATTCCTTAAACAAACAAAAAAAAGCATTCAAGCAATCCTGCCCAGATAAACAAAACAACTGGGCAAAGATAAACAAAACAACTGGGCAAAGCCGAGTCTGCTACCTGAGGTGAATTAGTTAAAACAAGACAAACAAACAGCTATGTGCTGCCATCAGTCTGTGTGCGCTCCTGTGTGTGTGCATGGCTGTGAGTGCAGTCCTTCAGCTCAGCTTCTGCTCCCCCAGGGTGTGTGTGTGGGGGGGGGGATGCTTGTGCAAGTTGAAAGAAGTAAACCTGGTCAACTCACTGGAAGGGAGGCACGAAGCACATCTCTGGTCTAGATCCCAGCCTGAGGTAATGCTGTACAGCAGTGAATTAGGCAATGGTTTCCTGAGTCCCTGCTCCGTACGTAGCTGGTGTTTTCCCTGCAGCTGCGTCACCTAGACCTCCGCGTTCAGCTGGCCAGGCTCCAGGATGGCAGTCTCCCAAAATCAAAATGTTGTATGCAGGAATTCGTTAAAGGATCTATATGGCCTCCAGAGAAAAAGTTTGCATTGGCTTTTTGAATTACAAAGGGGAACAAAGGCTGTTTAAAGGAAGAGAGGAGAGGGGGAAGGGTTGTTTTTCTTGCATATATTATGTTTTAACTCAAATTATGTAGACAAAAAGAGGCTCCTTCCATGCCGTCTCTATGGCTACAGCTCGGATCATTGTGCAGGAGCCTGGGAGCAGGAAAACACCAAACGGGGTGGGGGGGGGGGGCGCAGTGAGCCCGTCACTCCTTCTTGCAGCCGGGTATGACCTTTCCATCCCTACCCGATAGGAACGTGGAAATGCTGCAATTGCAAAGTTTTCTGCTGGCTGGCTCAGCATGAAGAGGTCATGAGTTTGAGAGTGAGAGCAAAGTGGATCTTTGCAGCTCACCTCCCTGAAGATGTTATCAGTGCTGTCATAACAACAGCTTTCTAACTCTTCCTCAGAGGCATGCACACTCCAGTGAGGAAGTAAGGTGATGAAGAAGAAGGCTGATGTACCTTGAAGTACAAGCAAGCCCTGGGTCTGTGCTGTGATGGATTCCCACTGGTGTGGTACCTGTGGGAACCTGCTGGTATTACTTAGCGCTGATGATATGCTTGCACTGCAGCTTGGCGGTATGATCATGATCCTGGAAATTAAGAAAGCAGGGTGAGGTTTCTTTCGTGTTTAAACCCATAGAAAATCTCAGCTATATGTTTCAGTTGTAGTTATGGAGTCACTTTGGTCCTCCAGGGATTCAAATTCCTATTGAGGGAATTTAAAATTGATCTTTTCTTGATCTGCATTACTAGGTGACTCTTGTCTGGAGTCTTGTTGGAGACTGTACCATAACCGTGAAAATATCTCTGCTGGTTTTAAAAACCCTGCCTCTTAGTAGGATCTCAGTGAAAGTCACATCTGAAAGGTTAGTCTTTGTCTTTACATTCATGTGTGAACATTTAAAATTATCCCAGTTGGCTAGGAAAGGTCTTCTCATTTAGCACTGCCTCATTTGTTTTCTGTGACTCCCTGAGAATCTGTTTCAGCAGAATTCATTTAGAAAATGCAATGGTAAACCGCATTGGCAGAAGAAGATGAACAAGATATGGTAAACACTTAACATGATTGAAAATTTGGCTAAGCCGCTTACTTTCCTAATTAGAATGCCTAATTAGTTAGCTTGTTCCATTCAGTCATGCAGCTTTGATAGCCTTATTGTGCTCCAGAAGTCTAGGGCCTGCGATTTAAGTAGGTCTGTCCTAGATATCTAACGAACTGTTAATTTGAAAATAAAAACATTCTTAAACTGCTCTTCTGAAGTGATATGCAGAGCCAAAAGCCTAAAATAGCTCCAAACCAGATTCTACTAGGACTGAGATACATGGGTAGGTTACTGTAGCTCACTGAGTTAACCAGAGAAGTTACTGCAGCTTCCCCAGTGAGAAGACACAACACCCTGAGGTTCAGCAAGAGCTGCTGGAGGCCACCTCCTCCTTCCCATGCCACCTCCAGAACTAGTTACTGGGCCAATTCATGGTCTTTGGCCTACTAAACTGCAGCAAATAACAGGCTCAAGAGCAAGCATCAAACACCTCTGCAGGCACAGGGCAGTTCGTAGCCTTGCTGTTGATCTGCTGCTGAGGGAGAAACACAGGTTTCTGTTCCCCTTGGGCAGGAACAGGATTTGAGCCTCAGGCTCCTGCAGATGGTATGAACAGTCTCACAGCTGAGGTGCTGTGCAGACACAGGGAGTGTCTGGAAATGAACCTGATCTCCTAAATCAAGGTAATTTTCCTTGACAGATTCCAGGCTTGGTCGAGCCTGCTTTTGTCCAGACAACCACTTGCACATATGCTGCCTCCTGCTCTCTTCCAAGAGCTCCTGTATTTCTTATCAGTCTTCTCATTCCTGAAGCGAGAGCTGACAGCCGTATCTCACACCTGGGCAGAGCTGGCACAAGCAAAATGGAAAACAAGAACTGTTTCATGCTAAATGCCCTGCACAGCCTGCTGCTCGCACTAGGCAGAAGGACATCTTGTTCTTAAAATCAGCTTAGCGTTACCCATGGTTGTTACTGGCAGTTACTGCCCAGTAATCTTCCAGATGACACTTGGTTTATGCAGTGATCAAAATCAGTTTTATTTGAACTAGTGCACATTACAAGACAAGTAAGTCTCTTCCTTTCCTGTGAAGTGAAAGCAGTGCTGACCAAAAGAAACCTTTTATTTACTACAGAGCAAGAGGAGAGCAACATGAAACTTGCATGTATCCACTTTCACCACCAACTTTTGAGAAAGGCAGATGCAGCATGGCAAAGTTGGTAAGTTTGTTTCCAAGCTAATTAAAAAGCTGATGAGCAGCACGGTTTTCACTTACTGTTGTACAAGGATTTAAACACACAGGATCTGAGCTTAAAGCAGTGCTTAATTTCAGGCAGCTCACTGCTGCCAGTGACTACACTGCACTGAAGCACATGAAAAAGTCTGTACAGTATACAAAATCATGTACATAAACCAGCTTACCAGAAACATTCAAGTTTGACCCTTTAAGACTTAAGAGAGTTTTTTGAGGGTTTATAAAACTACTTTCTCTTACCCCTAAACAGTCAAACCTTTTTGTGATTTAGGCTTCAAAAGGACAGCTAGATACATCTTCCCCTCCAAGGTTATACCCTTTTGAGGTGCTCTGTAGTTAACTGAAAGTCCCAAAGAGGCACTGCCACAAGTTCATTTTTCTGAAGCTGCTTTTTGGAGGGCTGAGACCAGCAGCCCAGCCAAAGGACTTGAAACAAATGCAGTAGTTCAAATGCAGTTCACCAGCACAGAACCCTCATTAGACAGGATGCTCTGCACCATGAAGTAGAGACAAAGCTCAACCTCCTCCCATCACTCAGCTTCTGCACAGGTGTCCCTTTTATCTCTCTGGGACTGTGGTAAACCATGCTTCACTCATGAAAATGTCTTTTATTAACTTGCATGTTATGTAACTGAAAACTATGCAATAAAGTCAAAACTACTGCCATGAAGTGAAAACACTATTTATTTTTATAAAAGGCAATAATTAAAACAAACCCTACCAGTGTGTACATTGTACACATTTGAATGACACTCACAAGAATGAAGTTTCCATATACAAAGATTACAAGCCCACACTGGTAAAGTATGCACACAAGCACGTACACAGCTTCACAGATGCCTCGACTCCAGATGACAGTACCAATTACTCTACGACCATGCCTGCAGAGCATTTTCATTATTAGCATCCACACTACTTTATTCCACTACAAACTGTACACAGAAAGCAAGAAGGAGTTTATTCAGAGAGCATGTATATTCGCAGAAAGGATTTATTTGCTGGAATCATCTCTCACTCTTCTGTTGCCATCTTCAAGAGATACTCTTTGTCAATTTTGAAGAGCCTCCACCCCTCCTCGGTGGACAGATCAGAGGCACCCCTTCTCTTGTAGAACCTGATGGACGGTTCATTCCACTCCGCAACCAGGAAGTGCATACTGCTGCAGCGGCACTTCACAGCCACCTGCAAAAGTGGGCAACACCACACATTTCAAATGACAGCTCCAGGTGATCAGACCAGTAAGAACTGGTCAGACTACTCAGCAAGCAACTGCGTATCAGTCAAGTTAATTGTTGGTCACTTCAGCACTTGTCACTGTTTAACAGACTCTAGACAATGTTTTAAGCTGTCTTGTGTCCTGCCACCTCCTTCAATTTAATTTCGAGTAGTGCTGAAGGAGAAGCTCTCATGCAGTTAGAAGAGTGAGAATACTGCCTTGCCACGTGTCCTCAGCTCTGCTTCTTTAGAGACTTATCACTCAGACTTACCTGACTCAAGTTCTTCAGAATTTCTGACCCAATGCCAAGTCCTAAAAAAAAAAAATAACCCACAAGAAGAAATTAAGTTTTAATTTTAACAAAGCCCTACAGGAAGCAACTCATCTAATTCTGTCATACATACCTCTGTACTCAGCCATCACATAAAAATCTTCAAGATACAGCAGTTTTCCAATCCATGGATCGTAAGTGAAGTAATACATGGCAAAGCCCACAATGCAGTGTTCTGAAACAAAGGGTCTAACTTTAGCTCATCTGAATTTAAAAGGCAAAAAAAAAATTATGCATTATAGTCTTACATGCATGTTTAGACATATAGATTCCCTGTGACATGCAGACATTTGCTATTAGGTTATAATTAAGACTGAACTTTGCGAGTAAGCACACAACTGAAAATACGAATTCTGACAAACTTGTATCAATCCAGCAGAGCAAGATTGCCCCTGCCATAGCCAGAGATCCTCAAAAAGCACTGTTACAGTAAGTATTAAAGACAAAAGTTTTTTTTCTACAAATGTATAACCTACTGATTTATCAGTATTTCCATTCTGGAATACAAGTGAAAGCTTCACACAAGAGTTCACAATCTAGATGACTGCCCCAACTCTGCTTCCGTAGCAACCAGAAGTCTATCAAACTCTGAAGAACACTGATCTGTCAATGTATGTTCCTCAGTAACTACACTGTGCAAGAAGGCATGCTCACATGCTTACAGCAGCATTTCCAGCACCTCCACTTAATGCTTCCACTGCTGCTTCTTTACCTTCAGTGCCAGAAACTCAAGCTAAGTAAAACCGCAGCTTCAATTATAATTCTGTGGCTCAACAGGGAAGAGAAACCAACTCTTCCAACAGCAGCCCACTCAAACCTAAACCTTCAAGGTATTTTAACCACATCTGCTGTAACACTCTGCACATACTTTGAGAGAAGCGTGCAAACAAATCTCTGATCTACTGTGTCTTTGGTAAAGGTTTGGGAACAGCACTTGTCCCTGTAGACCTTACCTCATATTATGATCATCTACTTTATTGTGTAACGGATCTTTTAGTTACCTCCCCGCCCATCCATGTACACGGAAGGGCCATGTACATGGCGAAGCTAGAGACTGTAACCTGAAGATTGGGGACAAATTAAAGAAAAAAATGTGATTCAACAGGATTACATAAAGGTAAGTCAGGGTCAAACAAGAAAAGCCATTTAATTAATTGGAGTCAAGCACATTAAGCTATACCTGATCTTCCCACGCCTCCAGGATTAGCGACTACTTCAGCAGAGTATCACTATATATTACTGCATTTAACAGTTAACCTAGTCCTCCTATCCCAATTCATTGGTGGAACCTTATGTACAATTGGTAGCATTAAGTATAAGGTGCCTCTTGCGTATTTGGCATCCAAAAATAAGTACTGGGGAAGGCTCACCTTCAGGCGACCACTGTTCTTTTGGCACTTCTGCAACCAGACAGTGGTAGAACGGGTGCTCGCCAAAACCATCCTCAAGCAGCTCTAGAAAAGCAGAATAAACCGGCACCTGAGCTGCAGGCACTGTCACCAGCCCAGCACCCAGGCGAGCGGATGCCGCTTTTGTACCTTTCTCAGTTAGCACCACTTGATCCTCCATGTCCTCGTACTTGGCTAGTTCCTGGAAGGGAAAGGCTTTGTGAGCGGATTCTCCCCGCAGCTCCCCGCGGCCGCTTCCCGATTGGCCGCTCCCCCCCACCCC